ATCTTTTAAATGGATGGGTTTCCACTGCACACTCTTGTTTTTCAAACAAAGTTTCAGGAAGATTATTCTTAGTCCAGAAACTGACTTTTATATTTTTGCTGATTCCCCACATTTAATATTTAATATACAGGTGTCTCACATATAAGGAATAATTTTCTGAGCACTGAAAGTCTTGAAAGAATTGCAAGGGCAAAGCAGTTAAAAGGGATGTGATAATTATTTGATAATATATAGTGTTTTTAGTGGTAAATCCCACTGAGAGAGCAAGTAGGAGGTAATAGGCCCAAAAGGAAGAAAAAATAAATTGCATCATTTAAAATCAACATCTGGAGTAGTTTTCCAGAACTGTGGACACTATCTCCTTCTTTGGTTGTTGCAGACATTTTCATTAGGAAGAAGATGCAACCATATGGCTCTGGTTCCTGCTATATCAATTGGCACTGAACAGTAGTGTGTACCCTGCACTTTCTTAGAGAAAGCTCTTATCCAGGATTTATTGGCAAGAAGATTGAGTTTCTTGCACTACAGGCAAAAGTGCTTTTTGATTAGGTGTTCTTTTTGGGTTTTGGTTTGGTTTTGGTTTATTGCTTTCAGAGGCTTATGGGACTGTATTTTCAAGAAGTAACAGTCCCCACAGGGGGCAGAATGTTCTGCAGAATATGCAGAAATCCCTTGATTTATAAGGCCAGATTTAATAAATCTGGTCAACTTGTGTGTTACGGATGTTCCTGCTAATTGGACCTGAAATGACTGAATTAAAGCATATGTCTAGACTGCAGGAAAACTGCCCTCAGTCTTTGTCTGTTAATCACCAGAGGTGAGGACCAGATGGAGTGGTGTGGCTCTCTTTTGGCCCAGGTTTCCTTCCCTTGGATTTGAAATATGGGTCTGAATCCAAAAGCAAGGCAGTAGATTTGGGTGTTACTGCAGAGCAACAGCTCTCCCAAATTCATGGAACAGTCATGAACAGAGTGGTCTTACCCTCTGTCTGATGGATGACAGAGCCACTTGAATATACTTTCTGTCTGGTAGAAAGTGCTGTTACTGACTGAATAACCCTGCTCCCCTCTGCTGGGGTCTGTCCTAGTATTTTAGGGCAAAGTGTTAGCAGGTTGATTTGTTGATTTTTCCTCTCTTTCTTAACAGCTCCTAGACTGTTTTGTCATCCCAGTGGTAATACTGCTGTCCTGGTTCTTCTTACTGGTACGATACAAGGCAGTACATTTCATTGGGATCGTGGTCTGCATTCTGGGCATGGGCTGCATGGCAGGAGCAGATGTCCTCGTTGGGAGACAGCAAGGAGCAGGTGAGTAAGGATGGATGGGTTGTATGACTAAAAGCTGCTCAGTGAAACCATTGACCAGAACATGTCAGATTGGGACCAAAACAAAAAAAGGAAGAATTGGCAGGAAACCCTGTGCCTTGATGGATCCAATGCACTGCACTATTCAAAGTTGCTTCTTTGTCAGAAAGGACAGAGAACAAAAATGGGTTGACACTTGGAAGTCAGCACTGCTGCAAACAGACTTCATGAGCCCTGTGTCTGCAACACAGGTTACCCTCTGTGTGCACAGAGGGAACAAGCTAGATATTTGTAGTTTCACTCTGTTTTGGCTTAGTTGACTTCAAACCTCAATTGCTTCTTTTCCAAATTGGCTAAATCTTTGAGTCATAAGCACCTCTCATGTCTACTGTGTACTCTTACTTCTCAACTTTGCTCCTTTTTTCTATGGAGATGGGGTTGCTGCATAGATGCTAAAAGACACCAAGCCTACAAACTAACAGTGCCAATTGGGTTTTGCACACAGTCTCAGTGTAAAGGTTTGAAATTTGCCTGCATCATTGCTGAAAATAACCTTCTTGAGTGTAAAATGTTCTTTTTTATATGCAGCATCATATGACTAATGTGTGTGTAGCTATTACTGCAGACTAGACAGAGTTAGATTTCATTGATCAACTTCCTCTGTCACATTGATTTCTCTAGTGCCAACCCAAATGATGTGGGAAGGCTAGAAATTCTTTTCAAAGATTGTCAATTAGGCACAGTTTTCATTCTTAATTAAAAGCACTGAATTGTGAGCTGAGCATAATACACTGGGATTTAAAATTCTTGACTCAGCTTTCTGAATACAAATGCAAGTGCTGTAAGAACTGCATTTGCCAGGATGCTACTAAGTAAAACAAGGGAGATTCTGACAGTACTCACTGTCTCTCCCTGCTCCCTTTTATCCCTGTCCTTTATCCTAAAAGGAGACTCTTAGCTCATTGGTCTCCTCCAGATATTGCCCTGGCCCATCTAAGAGGAAAGAATATACTTGGTACTATGAAACCAGCCAGCCAAAGCTACATTGAGAATGATTGGTTTCAGGGGGGATTGGGATTTCAACCCTGTTTTCCAAAGGAAATATCCTGTGTCCCAGTAAGCTAGAGAGTGACATGCTAGGGCAGATGGGCTGTGGATCAGCAGGAGCATGCAGGGCAATGGACTTCAGTGGAAAAGAAACAGATTGAAAAACACTCACACTTTGCCATCCAAGTGCAATAATGAGATACTAATTGCCATATTCGTTACTAAGGCACGGGTATAGCTATTAGGTACATTTTTCCAGAAAAATAAGTTAACATGCATTATTACCTTTTACTTTGGAGCTACACATGAAAGACTGTGACCATGGTTATTGCTATGCAGAGAGATTGCGACTTTGTTGTTGTGTTTTTTTTTCCTCTAGCTGGCAAAATGTTGTTATTAATGATGCTCTCTTTAACAGTAAAATAGATCAGCTGGCTTAATTTATCTGAGTGGGTAAAGCTATACATTAAAAATCTACAAATAAAAATAAGTACTGACAGCAAAATAAAAAAAATCTTGAAACTCTTCTTTAAAGAGTTCCACACCATTTATAGGATATTTCCTTGGGCTGGGCAAACAAAAGAAAGGAATACATCAAAAGCAATGATGCTGCATTAGTCCTCACTAAACTCCTCTGTTTATCCTGTATTTTAGGGGAGAAGACCTGTTGACACCTTAGTGCCCGTGTTGAATGTACTATTTATTGTGTTAGCAGTGCCATAAGGCTCTGCCCTGCATCCACTGCATGCAGCAGCTCAGCCTGCCAGCTCTTACAGTCTGAGAACATGTATTTAAAGTGCATCACTGAGTAATAGGTATTTTTCAAACTGTCTGGAGGAGTTAACTATAATGTGTAGGCATGCTCTCAATTTTCAATAAATACATGGTAGTTTGCCTCTTTTTATTGTATCCTGACTGATGTTTTGCACATTACTCAATGGGGAAAGCATTTACTATCAAGTACTTTGTGCTCTATAACCTTACATGCCAAGTATACCTTAAAATAACACTTCCCTGAACTAATATCCCTGAGGTCCTTGGTGCCTACCTGTAATACACGGGTATGTAAGGCACAGAAGTCTAAGTGTTTCATCCAGATTTGTCAAAGCATTTCACAAGTTTAGCTTACCAGTCACTTTGGTCATGTTAATAAGTCAATGAGAGAATATTTAGTCTAAGATGGCACACACTTAGATTGATTTTTAGATACTATGATCATCAGTAATTACAACCAAAAGCAAAGAGAAACACCTCTTAATGCTGGAGGTTAAGGTAAAAATGTAGCAAAGTGGCCTACTGAGAGTGTGAAAAGAATCCTGTCAGAACACAGTTCTTATTTAAATTATTTATGTTACACTATAATGCTATAACTAGTCCTGAAAACATTGACTCCTCTGGACTATATGACTTCTGCCTCCAGAGGCCATTAAATATGCTAACAGTGATTAATGCAAAGCATGTTTTGTGTTCAGAAGAATAGCCTATACCATTAAATTGGTCAAGTACACCTATATTAACCTAAAAGTCTTTAGAATTTATTTAGACAGTTGATACATTTTTCCTTAGCAATGAAACTAGTAGGTGCAGGTGAATTTTACATCCATGAAAATACGTCTGTTAAGATATATGAGTCTCAGGGGAAAGTTCCAAAGTCAGCCTCTTGAGGAAGCACAAAAAAGACATTTGACAACCAGGATGCTAGGAATTATTAGGAAAGAAACCAAAATCATGGTATAAAACATTTTTATGCCAGTATATAAAGTTTTAATGCACTGAACTCTTGAGCACCATATGTTACTTTAGCCACTGCATCTCAAAAAGAAATTACCAGAAAATAAGCATACAGAAGCAATGGAGAAAGGTGAGAAAGCTGTTCAAGGGGCCAAAATGGCTTCATGATGAAGAGATGTAGGCAGACTGGGAGTTGTCATTTCTCAGAAAAGGCAAGAAAGAGAAAAACTACGATAGAGGTACATGAAAATTTCCGTGGTATGGAGAGGGTCAGTACAGACTGATTCTTCAGTATTTCTGACAACCAGAGAATTTTGGGATACTGAATATAATTTTGAGGTATCAGGCTTAAAAGCTAAGAACATGAAGTATTTCTGAGAGTAGGCAAAATATATATGGACTTTACACAAATTAATGAAGAATTCCTCTAGTTTGGTGGTCTAATGCAACTTCCCATCTCAGAGAATCCCTGATCTACTGAGAACTTGCTGATAAAAATCCCTCTGTGCTTTCCGATTTCTATATGCTTTGCTCAGACACTCTGTGCTGCCAGTGCCAGAGAAGGGTCTTGGGCTGGGCAGACCTGTGCTCCGACCAGCTCTGAGCTTCCTCTTCTGGTAAAGCCCTGAAGGTTGAGGCTTTCCAAGCATGAGTGCACTCTAGGGAGAGCCATCACAAGAGGGTGCTTGGGAACATCCCATCTTAATGACAATGCTCAGACTCTGAGCCATCTTTGTTTTGCAGATGCAAAAGGATGATATTTTTGTCTCAGCAGTTCAGCACAGCCAAGCTCTTAAGGTCAAAAGCTTTTTCAGCAGTACTTCCCCTAAGTGTCAGTGAGTAGCTGTAATAAATACCGAATGAGTGAGCTCAGTGAGTGATGACTGGAGCCACTGTGGAACATCAAATGCATCAGGGATATAAGGAGGTTTTGTGAAGTGCTGATGCTTATTTTAAATTAAGGGCTCTTCCATGGCTGATGGCAAAAGAAGGCTAAAAGGAAAATAAGTACCAAATCTTTAAAAGATAAATGCTCAGAAATAGAAATGCAGCCAGTCAAAGTGCATGCAAAATAGAAATTCAGTGAGAGACTCGATGAATATCGAGTAATGTTTGCTAAATACACAAAAGCCACACCTCCTCTGAGCTGAAAAATGTTGAAGACTTAGACAGTATTACTGGGAGTGTTTTAGACTTTACCTCATTCATTCTGGTACTTATAGCCCGTGTTGGATGCAAGATACTGAATAAATGAACAAACTCTTGGTCTGTCCTTTTACAACCGTTCTTATTTTAATAAATTTATTCTCACTGGAAATTTCAGTGCTGTAATCTTGAATTTAAACTGAAGGTTTAAAATAATTTCATAAACAAAAATGTTGAAAAGATAATTCTGAACCAATCAGAATGTTTGGCTTCCATTTTTAATTACCACAGTGTGTATTTTACAAATCAATAATAATAAAATGTAAAAAGTCAGGAACTCAAGAAATAAATCAAGAGTATTTTAAAAAAACAACAAGGTTTCTTTAAAAAAAAACAATTGTCTAGTACTTCAGCATTTCTACTGAACATTTTAAAAGGAAATTCCATTATATCCAGCCTTTCAAGATACGGTTCTGCAGCAGTGTCTGACAGCTTTGTGAAACTGTAACTCTTGTAGAAATCATTTAACAAACCATAGGTGCAGAGGGAATTGCGTGCATCTGTTCACAAAGCCAGGGCCTCAGTTTTCAAGCTGGAACTTGATTTTGACCAAATCTCCCTGCAGCCCTCCCTGCCCCAGTAATAAAAGTCTCCAAGACTTAAAAAGATATCAGTCTTTGACAATACAATGTTTTAGTAAATATATATGCCTAGAGGTACTGAAAATACATCTTGGTGTTCATTGCTTGCATTAGGTACTGCTATGTTAATTGATCCTCTTAAAATTCTGTCATGATCACCCTGTCTACACCTCATCCTTCCTCTTCTCTTTCTTGACAAACACCTTCATGTGAGAATGAGGTCAATATTGGGGTTATAAGGATTTCTTCACTCACTTCACAGGTACATGGAATTTTTCAGTTGGTTTCACATCTAAATACTGGACATATCTTAGACTAGTTAGATTTCAAGATGAGATACAAACTGCTCCATTTATCTGAGTCACATTCTATCTGCAACAAACCCAATAATCATAATAAAATTGCAAGGATTAATCACTGAAGATTGCCACTTGGTTTCTGTATTGTTTTACAGATTTTTCAGAGTCTTTCAGATTCTTTTATCTACAGCAGGGACAATGCCCTCCCTTTGTCTCTGCTAGATTTTACTGGGGTGTTGAATAAAAACTATTAAGACAACAGAACATTTGCATTGAGCTTATTAACCTAGATCAGGACTACTTAGTGGCTGAAGATTGAAAGCTGTAGGGAAGAATGTGTGATGGTTCTAGACAAAAGACAGTTGTTTTGAGACATTCCAATTTTCCCTCTGTTTATTCCTAGGTGAAAACAAACTGATAGGGGATCTCTTAGTACTGGGTGGAGCAACGCTATATGGAATCTCAAATGTTTGTGAGGAGTACATCGTCCGAAATCTGAGTCGAGTGGAATTCCTGGGCATGATCGGACTCTTTGGCTCCTTCTTCAGTGGAATTCAGCTGTAAGTGAGCAGGTTTGAGCTCCAAGTTCATTAAAATAAGTGCAGTTGTGGCCTCCCTTGAGGTACTCTAACCCTCTCTTCCAAGGTAGCCATTTGATGTGGAGAGTAGGTGTCCTGTAATTCTGGAATTTGCCTTGATTTTTGTATTTCAGCTTGGTGGGTCTGAATAACACTCTAATTCAAGGACTGGTGTTCTTGATTAGCCATTTGGGGAGGGAGGAGTAGAAGAGACATCCTACAATCTTGTTGCTGGAAGACAAGTGAATACTTCATGTGTTGGTCTGATCTGTGAATAACAAAATATAAAACTCTGGTTCTGTTTCATACTTTTAGAAAGTCACTCAGATATCTGAACAGGTAGAAAAGATATTTTACTGGTTGGCTCTTTCTGTGCAAATACATTATGATACAGTAGAAATAATGAAAAGGCCTTTAAGAAACTGGTCTTTTCACTGAAAAATATTTAGTACTCAGGTGACTTTTTGATGGATTTCAGGAACTATTGTGTCCTGTCTATATGTATATTCACCTAAGCATCTCACCTGCAAACCTAAAAATTGGAAGGTAACTTTTAGTGTTGTAATACTGTGACTGATGAAAGTGTAGTAAAAGTCACCATGCAAGATTGCTACATTTTATGCAGATCCACCAATGTGTTTGTCACACAGAATAACTTTGGATTATTAGTCAAAACCAAATTGTTTCCCTGCACATCTGAGCTACTCAGCTTCTAAGAATGGAGAATGATCAAAACAATGACCCATCAATTCCTACTTAATTAGTTCTGTTTCTTTAGCCAGAAAGCTTATTATATATATGTTGGACCTGAATGTGTGACTAAAAATTATTTATATTAATTGGCTGCCACACGAAGAGTTCTTTTTAAAAAAAGTATCGAATTCAAGAGCACTTAGATGTGCCCAGTGTCTTTGGCTAAAGTGTTTTTGTTATTTACAGTGTTCATGATAGGTAGGTACTCACTGATTCTGGGGGCATCACAGCAGTGCCCTTGTCTTGCTCTATGTGGATAAACTGTCATGTACATGTCTCATATTCCTGAATTTAATTATGGTGCCATTACCCCCTCTTGACCTGAGCAGTTAGTCACAATTCAGGGTCTGTGAGTTGTTTTGCTGATAAGAAGCTGGTGCTAGAATAAGGCATCTTTGTATACAGAGGACACAACTGGAATGAAACAAAAGAAACATTTTCTTTGCTGAAAGCCAGAGATTTTTCTAGTCAAACTTTGGCTTGGAATTTCTCCCCAGCAGGTTTTTCTTCACCAGACCCTATAGCTTTGCTGCTGCTAGTGCTTTTGTGGCACGTCATGGAGACGTGACCATAGATATCTCAAGCATGTACTTTTTTAACAAGGTGGCCAAAGCTTGCATCTTGTGAGAAGACAGTAATGTTTCTACTACCTGGTTCCATGAAGCAATTCAGCATTTCCTTACCTTTACCTGTAATGGAGAGCTGACATACAACCTGGTCTAGTGGTAGGGTTCCCTGCTCATGGCAGGGGATTTGAACTTGATAATCTTTAAGGTCCCTTCCTTAATGATTCTATGATTCTGTGATTAAAGCAGGGAGGAATTGCATATCAAAAAGAGAAAAGAAATTAGTCAACATGAGTCTGAGATACAGCAGCTGCCCAGCAAATAGAGATAATGCTGTCCAAAGGAATCACATAATCATAGAATAACCTATTTTGTAATGGACCCCTGAAGGTGATCTCGTTCAAGCTCCTACTTGAAGCAACTCTACGCTAACTTCAAATTTATGTTAGGTTGCTCAGGAAATTGTACAGGTGATTTCTTAATATCTCCAAGATTTGAAATGCCAGACCTTCTGGGCAACCTGTTCCAGTGTTTAACGAGGTTTTTTTTCCCTTGATCTCCAATCAGTTTTCCACACTGCAACTTGTGTCTATTGTCAGCTCATCCTTTTGTTATGCACCTCCAAGAAAAGCCTAACTGTCTTTTCTGTAACTACCCACTAGGTAGTTGAGATGGCAAATTCATTGTCCCGTCCTCCTTCCTCCTGACTTAGCCTTCTCTTCTTCACACTGAACAAACTCTACTGTTTCAGCATCTCCTCTTATATAATTTGCTCCAGCCACCTGAGCCTTGTGATGAAGCTCCACTGTACTCTGTCCAATTTATCAATGTCTGTTCTTCTCTGGGCAGACCAAAATCAGATAGTGTTCAATTGGAGCTGCTGTCTCATAAACCATGCCCTACAACTTGCTGGCTAGACTCTTAGAACAAAACCCAGGAAGATGTTGACCATCTCTCCTCCAAGGACACATGGCTGACTTACGTTCAGGTTGATGTCCACCAGGACTCCAAGCTTTCTTTCTGAAAAAAAGCAGCTTTCTGTCCAGTCAACTCCCAGCCAGTACTGTTGCATAGAGTTATTCCACCCCAGGTGCAGGAGTTTGTATAAGAATATTTTGGGAAATCATGTTGGAAGCTTTGCTAAAGTCAAGGTAGGTTACACCTCATCCTCTCAACCATTCCCTCTTCTTTATTTACTGAGCCAGTAATCTTGTCATAGAAGGCAAGTCAGTTTAGTCAGGTATGGTTTGCTCTTGAGAAGCATTTGCTGGCTGTTTCTAGTCATGCCTTCTTCATTTCCTATAAATGGCTTCTGGGAAAATTTGCTCCATAATAATCCCAAAGATTAGCATAAGGCTGGCCAGTCATTTTTGTTCCTTTTGATACTCAATGTTGCATTTGTCTCTTTTCTGTCATCAGGAACCTCTTCCAATCACCACAACCTTTCAAAGATCATTGCGGTTCCAAATTGTCAGTGAGTCTGGCACCACTAAATGGCTACTTCTTGCAAAGTTCCTCTTACCCCTCTTTGTTTCACAGATCATAATGAATCATAGACCATAGCATATTGATTTATACTTTTTTGTATCAGATAAGCAGTCATATGAAAGCAATGTTCCTACATTTAAATTATATCAAAATTTGTTTGCCAGAACAAGAGACATTGCAGGATATTCTTCAGGAATTGCTGATAAGAGAGACATATGCCTTATGCATGCAAAGACACTTACAATCTAGTTATTTTGCAGACAAAATAATCTTATTACTCTGTACACAGTATTAGATTTGCCACACATCAGCAGCAAGCAAATTAGAATTTCCAGGATGCAGCTCTCTAGACCAGATTAATCTGGAAGGCACTGAGTTCCTGCAGTTTTACTATTAGACTTGATCTTCCACATAGCACCTTTTGTACTGGGTACTTTGTTTTTCAATCTGTTTTATACTTGCTTAAAATAGTGTCCATACTAGCATGCGGAGTTCTGCACAGCAGGAGTTCTCTGGAAATCACAGATCAGAGAAAGCTGTTAGCTGAGTAAAGACCCAGCAGCTCATGAGATACTTAATCTCCAAGGGTCTATTTGCCCAGATTGAGAAGAGCTGATTTGTTGCCACCTTGGAATTTTCTGGATCTTGGATTTTTATGTTAAAGTACAATGCAAGACTTACAAGATGTTGAAAGTGGATTTCTGTGGCCGGGCCCATCCTTTGCTTTGTTTCCTGACTTTCGTTGCTGTCATTATTTGATCTCTCTCAGTCTTTAATACATCCCAGTATTCTTCCCTAAGCCAGCATATGGTATCTCTTTATTTGACACAGCAGAGCAGCTCTGAGGGGTGAATAACTCAGACAGACACATTATTAATCAAGTTCAAAAGCTTTCAGAATATAAAGGCAGAAGATTACAAGAGGATTGAATATATAGGAGGGTGGGCACTTTGTCCAAGTATATAGAGAGCTGGAAATAAAGCAAAGGAAATTGTATGCTATCACATCTTATTACTGCCCTGAAGCTCTTTCAAATACATGAGCACAGAGATAATGCCAGAGTGTATTAGCAAAGTCTGAGTGTATTTGTTTCCTCCTAAAATTTTTTGTTATAAGGTTATGTATGTTGTTTTGTCCAGCATTTTAACTAAATTAGTGGAAGTAATGTAACTTCTGTTCTTTTCCATCTAATTTTGCCTTCTCTTCTCTTACAGTGCAATCATGGAACACAAAGAGCTGTTGAAAGTTCCCTGGGATTGGCAAATAGGTAAGACAACAGTTTACCTCATTGAAGATAGTTGCTGACGGAGGTGTGGAGAAAACCAATGTTTGTGTAGGCAAGGACAAAGCTTCACAGCAGCCAATGTTTGTGAATTTTCTGCCCGTTACTGCCAAAGATTGAACCACATGCCTCATAACCTTCCTTAAATGATCTGTCCTCCCACTGCTGTATTATGCCTTCCTTGCACCAGTAGGTTAAGCATATGAATGCCATAAGATAATTAGTCAGACAGCCATGAGCTAAAACTATAATGGGGTTCCAGTTCTAAGATTCAATACAACACTAGGACAAATAAATGAGGTAGTCATTAAGAGCCAAACCTTTTCAATGAATGCTATAGAAAGGAAATTGAATCTAACAAAACAAACAAACAAAAAAAATCAACAAAAAAACCCACAAAAAACCCCACAAAAACCCCTTAAAAAGTACTTTCCATGCATATTACTGCCTCATAAACTCTTTTCCAAGGGGAGCATTTCTGTATGCAAATAGTTAATTGCTTTCCAAGTAGCCTTGGGGAAACGTAGCAGATGTGTCTTTTACACAAATTTAGGTAGCATCACGCACAGTGAAGCTCTTACATTGTTCTGCTATGGGGGTGGGTTGTGTTTTCCCATTTCAGTTTGGAAGCAGAGTTTATGGTCTAAGACTCCCTTCTAATTAGTCCAGCAAATTACTTCCTTTAAAAGCAAATCGGCATTTAGGAGAGTCCCTGTAATCACTCTTTTACTATTTATGACAATAAAATAAATAAAATAGTACTAATAGTCTAGAGCTTATTTACTTAGCAGGAGATTCAGGCTTTGGCAATCCATTGACTAGGTAGTTTCAAGATCACAATGACAGCTCAGAAGTGAGCAAAGGCAGCTGATTATGTAGGGAACCCCTGAGGACAGGGGATACAAGTTATGGAATACACTTGTTTTTCTTTTAAACATAAGTTCACAATTTCTTCTCATCATCATGAACTTTAATAAAAACAGTGCATCTTTTTTACAAAAAGCTGCATGTATAAGTCTTGGAGATTTGATGGCTGAGGTATAAAACTAAATGACAAATCAGTTTAAAGTATCGATGGATAAATACACTCAACTGCATATTGTGTGTTTGCCTTCTTTAATCTGTGATAATTAGCATAATTGCATCAGTGTTTGTTTATACTTCATGATAAGGAGCTCAGGGACATAATTAATCTGGTACTGATAGAACTAGCAATGGTCATAGTGAATTAATCTACTGTCCCTGTAAATGTCATATATACTTCCATGGGAGTTCCTTTGTAACTCAAGATCATGGAAATGTGCTATTAAAATAAAGTCTTACTTGGTCTGTGATGCCATTAAAATGTCATTGAAAGTTAGTTGCTAATTCTGAAAAGTCCCTGTGCTTCATAAGGAGATCATCTTTGCAAAAGTGTCATAGCTATGTACTTGTTTTCTTAGAGTAATAATTGGCAATGCAGTATAGTTAAACACAGATTAAATGGTGATAATTATCTGTAGTTCTGTGTTCTTCCCTGCTTTCCACTGTGCTCAGTGTGCTTTCCACTTCTTTGGCAGTGATACAAGGTTGTCAAGTAGTGATTGACAAATCTGTGTCCGGGTGTTCACAGCCTTGTCCTGAATACTTATCCACTGAGACAGACTCAAACCTGCAGTCCAGCAGAGTTAAATCATCAGCCTTCTGAATGGTAGTGATAAAGTCACAGCAGGCAACCTAACAAACAACTCAAGGTGGCCTGTTGCCATCTGCCGTAATTGTGCTATTAAGAATGGATGAGCTACCTTTCAACTGGTGTAAAATGCAAATTATTTTTTAATATAAAGACCTAAAGCCAATCTGTTGTGTCTATCTTGTTTAAAACAGGCTGTGGCTCTCCTGGTTTTAATTTTGGAAATTCCCCTAAGACATAGCATCATCTTCACACTTAGTATAAATCAGTGTGGCTCTAGTTGAATCCTTGAAGGTTTAAGTATTAATACTTGCTGACAACCTGACTGAAAGGAGAATGATGATACTGTTCTGACTGAGTGGTTTCATTCAAGACCATGGCACATTTTGTAGAGTGATAGATGAAATAATAACAAATAAACTAACATCAGATTTATTTAAAAGAAAAAACAGTTTGAATCTCTGAGGAAGTGTCCTTTTCTATGCGGGGGCAGTGTGAATATTTCTGAATGGTCTTTACTCCAAGAAGACAGTATGAAAAGTCATAACTGATTCTATTTCATCTCAATGAAACAATGGCTTTTGGAGTAAAAATGCAAAGGCTAAAATATGCAACATTCAAACAGCATGCCCAGGAACTAAAGTAGAAGTTCCCAAGGCACTTTAGTCTTGAGCTACTTTAGAGCAGTCCCTAGGGGCAGATCAGACCATCTGTGTGAAGATCTCTAATCTTAAGAGAAGTGGAGAAATACTGAGGGACTGGGGCTTGTGCAGCCCATAGAAGAGAAGGCTTGGAGGAGTTACCTACAAGGAGGTTACCAAAAGGACAGAAACCAGATCTTCATAGTGGTACATGGCAGGAGGATGGGAGGCAACAGGCAGAAGTGGAAACGAGAGATTCAGAATGGATAAAAGCAAAATCTTCACACTGAGGCAGGCAGTGGAGCCTGTTGCCCAGAGAGGTGGTATAGCCTTCATTGTCTGAAGTTTCAAACTAGGCTGGGTGAAGTCCTGAGCAACTTGGTCGGATCTCACAGCTGAGCCTGGTTTGAGCTGGATTTCAACTAGAAACCTCTTAGCTCTGTTTCAGCCTGAATCACTCCACAATCCTATGATCCTAAGTACCCAGTTCAGACACTTAGGAGGCATTCATACCCAGCCAGGCAAAACTAGTGACCTTACCCATCAGGGTGAACACTGACAGACAAGGTGGGATTCCTTCCCACCGTATGGCTTCAGTTCAGCACAATGCCAACACACCTGAAAGCAGACAAGAATGTGGAGTTTCTCAGGGTTTAACACAGGCCAGCTGATCAGCAGATCATTACAAAAGCACCTCCTGACTTAGCAGGTTGCTTCCTTCCAATGTTTGGTACAGGTACTGGGACTGCAGCACTTGTGACAATTCCCAAGGCTGCCATTTGCACTGCAAGGGTACCCCAAGGAAGCTGAGGCTTCAAGCCTTTGACTTGAAAGGTGTTTTTAGTCTGGCCCTCTCAGAAGCAATAGCTGAAAATAATATGATGCTATGTCCAGTTTGCTCATTAGCACAACTAAATGCCATCCAGCTGGTGGTATTATGTGTATTTTTAAGATGTAAATGAAATAGCATTTTGTATGTAACTCTGACAGGACAGCTACAGCTTAAGCAATTTTCCACCAGAACTGAAATGCTTTTTGGAAAAGAAGCCTGTGAAGTGCATGTAGTTGGCTGCCAAAGAATGTGCACCATAAAATTATAGTGTTAGTTGAAAGCATAACTCAGCAAAGTGCCTGAATATGTGTAGTAGGGGTTGTGGTGGACCAGCTGGTGATTTGCAAACTGCACTTTGAGAGTATTGACTTTGGGTCCAGAATGGCCTTTGTGCCTGACCTGTTCTTGATTTAAGCCTGGAAGAAAAGCTGACTTAATGCTCATGTATGCAAACAATTTCTTATTGATCAAACTATGCTCCATTTGATGCAATCATTTGCTTACTACAGAAGAGTTGCAGAGTTTGTATAAAGCAACTCTTCTTTCAAGCACTGCCTAAGACTGATGCTGTTGTTACTCATATACAAGGCACACCTTAAAATATTGCTAGCTGTAGGTAAAAGCAGTTCTTCCCATGATTATCCATATTCTGAATAGAAATTCAGGTTCATGCCATAGCAATTGATATGTGGACACTGACATTTTGTGACTGCTGTATTTGTTTCAGATGGATGTACACTTCAGATGCTTCTAAGGGACTCAAACTATCATGGTTCTTTTTGTCCTCTAAATAGCTTTTCAAAAGAGTTTAAACTAAGTGGACCCACAAGGAGACAGAAATCATATGGGCTTTTATTTCCCCCCTTCAAATACATTTCAGGTCTTTGGTAGTCAGATTTTCTGCAACTTTTAGTCAATAACAACATGCTCTGAAGAGCTGGCATAAGTCTAAATTTAGATTTGTGCGTGTATCAGCTGGGAATTCTGCAGCATACGGCAGCCTAAGAAATATCATTTGCATGAGAGCAAATGAGTGAAGTGTTTGCTGGTTTTTTAACTTCATATTGATTAATTTGCTGTGGGAATTATCAAGTAATAACTGAAGTCATTATTTCTTTCCCAGCAAGTTATTTAGGTTTGTAAATGAAATTATATTTTTACTGTAATATATTTTTATTATATTAGTCTCTGACAATCTAATTTGTGAGAGGCACTCTGTAAACATGTAGCAAGAAAGACTCTCAGATCCAGAAAAATTTATTAATGAAGGGAGACAAAAGGGGGTAGAGGAACAGAGGTACAAAACTGAAATAAATTGTCAAGTTTGGTTGCAGAATAGAACTAGGACCTTGAGTGCATTCATCCATTGGCTCATTAACTTCTTTGCAGATACTTTTGCATTCTGTTTTTGGGTCCATTCCCAGAAAATATTGTGTGCTCTATCCAACTCAATTCCATTGGTGTTGGGTACATTCAGATCCTTAAGAGACTAGATTTGTTATGTCTGAATGCATCATTTCATCCAGATTTATGTTGGACATGAAGTGTGCCTGAGCTGTGTAAGACACTGATTTAGCATCTTAGAACAGCATTGCTGTTACAGAGACCACAAAGGACCTCATATCCACTGCTCTGTTTGGCTGGTTTTCTTATATATACAGAATTATGTTCTTAGTCTCTCTCTCTATATATGTGTGTGTGTGTATCATAATAATTTTGATCCATGTTTCTTTGAGAAAGCATTATTCATTTTTTTCTAAAAACACAGCCTTCTTCCTCCCAATATGAGTGATTTCTGCAGGCTGTGTGAAAGGTCACTTTGCTTCTCATTTCTCTCCCACAGGCTTGTTGTATGTTGGCTTTAGTGCCTGTATGTTTGGCCTCTACAGCTTTATGCCAGTGGTCATAAAGAAAACCAGTGCTACTGCCGTCAACCTCTCCCTACTCACAGCTGACCTGTACAGCCTCTTCTGTGGATTATTCCTCTTTCACTACAAGGTATGTGGGAATGAGAGATGTATTTGGGTAATAGCAGTAGGCCTGAAGAAACATCAAAGCAGAATAATGGAACAAAGAAGCCTCAAAGCTTTGTTAGATCTACACAGTAAGAGTACAAAATTTTTTAATACTTCAGGCTTCCCACACCAAAACCAATTTTGTTTTATGATTTCCAATTTTTAAAGAGAGCTCATTTGGTCTTGTTGTTATGAGTTTTACAATTTGAGTACCTGTTCATCAGTAACTGTATCACTACTTCAATTTTATTTATCAGAGGTAACTTTCAATTTGCTGTGACCAGACCTGAAGTGATGATGTCATGAAGGAAAGGACTTTTACAAAAAGCTCATAGATTTTTTTTATTATTTTTTTTTTTTGCCTGGGAGCGAAGTTGTTTTATTTATGCTCATTCTGAATTTGTAACAGGAGGATAGGAGGATGACCATGAGCCAGCAATGTGCCCTTGTGGCCAAGAAGGCCAATGGCATCCTGGGGTGTATTAGAAAGGGTGTGGTTTGTCGGTCAAGAGAGGTTCTCCTCCCCCTCTATTCTGCCTTGGTGAGGCTGCATCTGGAGTATTGTGTCCAGTTCTGGGTCCCTCAGCTCAAGAAGGACAGGGAACTGCTTGAAAGAGTCCAGCACAGAGCCACAAAGATGATTAAGGGAGTGGAACATCTCCCTTATGAGGAAAAGCTGAGGGAGCTGGGTCTCTTGAACTTGGAGGAGACTGAGGGGCAACCTCATCAGTGTTTACAAATGTGTAAAGGGTGAGTGTCAGGAGAATGGAGCCAGGATTTTTTAAGTGATGACCAGTGAAAGGACAAGGGGTAATGGATGCAAACTGGAACATAGGAGGTTCCACATAAAGATCAGAAAAAACTTCTTTCCTGTGAGAGTGACAGAGCACTGGAACAGGCTGCCCAGAGAGGTTGTGGAGTCTCCTTCACTGGAGACATTCAAAACCCACATGGACACATTCCTGTGTGATGTGCTCTGGGTGGCCCTGCTCTGGCAGGGGGGGTGGACTAGATGGTCTTTCAAGGTCCCTTCCAACCCCTAAGATTCTGTGATTCTGATTCTGTGAAAACTAACTCATCTGTTTCCATTAATTACATCTTTCTTGTCAGCCAAACCAATTACTTGCCTGTTAGTGTAGATGCCAAAATGTGCAGCAGTTTTGTTTTGAAATTAAACTTCTACTTCTCAAGTTCTCTAATATTTAAAACGTTGTGTTGTACAGCACACATTTCATGTCCAGTTACAAGGAATGACACTTCATTATTCACAAGTGCCCATTCCAGTGACCATCATATGAAAGTAGCATCAGGGTGCTGGAGGCAATTGCTTTGTTCCATCATTTATTCAGAGGAGGGAGGTTACTTGATAGCTAAATTGGTGGCCCAGAGGAGTGTTAGGTAAATGAAAACCTTAACATTCTGCATAGCTAACCAACTCAGATCAGATTTTATTATACAAATGATAGCTGAATGAATTGGAAGAAGACAGCGACAACTCAAAGCTTCAGAGTCCAAGACAAACTTGGTTTTTGCTGTTGCATTAATTTTGGTTTTATGGCTTTAAGAATTTTGCAGACTGAAGAGAAGCAAGTATAGAAACAAAAAATTTACTGAAAACAGTGTAGATGTTGTCTGCTGCTTAGGAGGTGTCTCATGGTGATTTAGTTACTTGTTCTGTCTGCCCCAGACTTCAAATCCAAAGCATTTGACATTACATATTAGCTGAAAATTATCTCCTAATAATATTATTTGAAATCCACAGCAAAATGTATTCTGTGATGTTAGTCCACTGTTTCTAAGAAACACATTATTACACAGTAAAAGACAGACAAATTAAATTCTGCAGTGTTGGTGAAGTTCTAGGAAAATCTCTGCTAGAGGGAGAGACTCAAAAAGGAGCAGGGGTTGTACAGCCTTGTGGTCTGTATTGCTCAAACCTAACAAAAAAGGCAATTTTTCAAATGCAAACCTTAAACTTCAGGCACTTGAAAAGCAGAAGGTACCTAAAAGGTTTCAGTTCTTCCCTGTGTTTAATTGTTGGGTACATTAGCAGACCCAGGAAGCAGAATTTTCAACCTCACTGATGCCCTGTATTTCTGCAGCTAGGTGCGTGTCAGCTCTCAACCAGAGTGATACCTTGGCCTCCCTTTAAGATGTGTACTGGAAAAGTGCTCCAGAAGAGAAGGCTCAGAACTGGAAGGTTGTCTGATTGAAAGCAAGGTCTCATCATCGGTCCTGATAAACTGGTTGAGTTCCACCTCTGAAGTAGCTGATGGCCCCCTCTGCCCCTTACTCATCTTACAAAACAGTTAACTCTATCATGCAGTCTTCTTCATAAACTCCTATCAAACTCTTTCTTCAGCCTATTTAGGTTTTTTACCGCCACTGCTCCCCTTGGGAGACAGTTCTAGAACATAACTACTCCAACAGTTACAAATCATCTTATTATTATTGCTTGTGGTTGGTTTTGATCCACTTGTTTTTCTGCCAAGACTATCCCTTAGTATTAGGAATGCCCCTGTCTCCTTAGCATTTTACTCTGCAGGTACATCAATAGACAGCAGTTGTACCCTATCTCAGCCCCTACCTCACTACACAGAGCAAGCCCTTCTCTGTACTTCATCTGGTTGGATTTCATTCTTCCTAAGACAGTCCCTTCAACTCATGAAGAAGAAAAGGTCCCTCCAGACTTGATTAAATTCTCTTGTCTCTCCATTTCTCCAGGAAGCCTCTTACCCCATAGACAGCAAGACTGGATTTGCATTTTTCACCACTGCTTTTTCTTTTGGTTTGTACTCATCCTGCCACCCATAACTCATGTGTCTCTCTCCTTTGTTCTTCCCAGCTGCAGTGCTGATAAGGAGAAGAGCTTTGTCAGGACTTTGTAGAAGGGCCTTTCCCTGAATGTAGCATCAACTCCCCAAGCTGTCAGTGTGTCTTTTCATGCCCTTCAAACTTACGTTGCAGAGGAAATTTGAAAAGAGATACTATATTCAGAGATCATCTAGATTTAAAGCCCCACTTAGTTGTCTGGCTAATTCTTTAATTACTGGGGGTTTTTTTAATCCTTAGATCACCCCCTTCTTTTCTTTCTGGTTTGCTATCATTTATCATTTTATATGAGGAAGTAGAACTGTGAAATGTGTGATTTGCACTCAACAATGAAATCTAATATATTAGCATTAAATGATCTCAATTCCCACACTAAGTCTGTGTACACTTGATTGTTTCCTAGCTTCTAAAGTTGTTTCCTTCCCAGCCCAGCTGTACATCTCCTTCAGATGTGCAGCTCCTTCTGCTTATTGCTGCCCTGACCAATGGGCACAGCCCCACTTCACTGGAAAGCAAATGGTTTTATGGTGAATTAGAATCAATTGAGTGGTTTAGTGCCCTTTGCAGAATATCATTTTATGAGCCTTTCAAGAAACTGTTAGGTTTTTTTCCCCTGTTCTACTACCTTTATCACCAGACAAGTTTATTGCACCTATGGCAATAAATCTATGAAAATCCATGGAAAATGCAGGAAATTAGTTTAAATGGGCTTTAGAGCCTCTGAAACCAAACTGTGGAGAAGATTGCATTTGAAGCTTTTTGATTTGTTAGTACTTCATTCTTTTTAATACAGACTTGCAACATAATGACATGCAGGACAGTGAGTTTATAAACAGCTGCATTTATATTCTTACCCTATATGCAGATATTTTTGTAGTGAGTTTAACAGTTCCCTGCCCCATGGAAGCTAGAAACACAGCATGTGAACTTGACACAACTCTGATATCAGCCCTCTGGGAGTACAGGGTTGGTACTTTTGTATAACTTCTGTTGGGTTTTTTTTTGCTTAGGAGGTGTTATTTTTTACATTTTTGTCACAGCCTTAGCTTTATTTTTATGCGGATCATTAAAGTTCATACTTTTCATTTGCAAGCCCTGTGTTGTGCTTTAGTCATTCTAAGCAAATTGGGTTCTCACTAAATAATCTAAGCAGTTTATTTTGTGTTTTCTCCAGCTAGGGCATGCATACTGGCTGTGTTCTGCACCAGCAGGTCGAGTCACACTATCTTATATCTTTACCTAACAAGCCAAGCACAATCAGTTATATTCTGCCTTGGCAAATTCATTAATTACTTTATCCAAGATGCAGCTATAAAAAATTAGGATTTCTGGATATAGTAGCAATTTCCAATTAAAGAAAATGCATATATTTAATAATAAATCAGGGAAGCCAGATATCTTGATTATGAGTCATGGGGACTGTCTTTGAGGACTTGGCTACACAGATAAACATGAAACTCAAAGCCTTTTGGCACCGGAAATCTGAAATTATGCTAATTGAAACCTCACTTGCTGATACTTTCTTACGCTTCTAAAAATGACTTTTCAATGCTGATTCTACAGCAGAGTCTCTCCAATGGAAGGAGCAGATGACAGTCTTCTCATTATGTTATATTCTACAGCAGAGTCTCTCCAATGGAGTAACATTGAGTAACATTTAGGAAAAGTGTGATATTGGTCAGCAGCTCTTTTAATAGGATGTCTTTGTTATGTTTTTCTGTCTGAGCTTTTTCTTGTTTCAAAAACAAGCCATGGGATTTAGCATAATGGAGAAGAGAGGATACAAGCTGAGGGCAGTATGTTTCAGTTTCATTTTTGCCAGCACAGATCCCAAGCAATGCTGATGAATTGGGGATTTACATAGGCTTCACTGAGATTAAAATGGGACCCTCCCTGGAAGCAAAGGAATTAGGAGCCTTTATTAAAAGTGTGTACCATCCTGATTCAAATCACTGAAACCAGTATGAGCTCTTCTGCTGGCTTCAGTGGGCTTCAGTTCATTTTCCTAAATTAGGAAAGTCTACCACACAAGGATTAATCTTTAAAAAAAAATTCACTTCTTCTTGGCTGTGGAGATAAAGACCATGCATTATGATGACTCTGTGCTTCAGACAAGCCTGTTTTGTTAGTGAAGGGTGGATATGATGTCCC